AAAACAGCTGCCAACTTCTGGTACCAGCAGCGTGGCGCCTGCTTCAAGCCGTAGATGGACTTTTTCAGCTTGCACACCCTGCCCGTACCATCCTCATACCCAGGTGGCTGCGTCATGAACACCTCCTCCTCTAAAATCCCGTTGAGAAATGCCGTTGATATGTCCATCTGGATAATGAACTTCCCACTAACGGCTGCATCTGCCAACAAGACACGAAGGGTAGGGGGTTTAGCAGTGGGAGCAAAGATCTCATTGAAGTCCCGCTTCTCCTTCTGCATAAACCCCTTAGCCACCAACCTACTCTTGTAGATGGTGACCTGCCCCTTGTCGTCAGTCTTGATCCTTAGCACCCACTTGCATTGTACCGCTTTCTTTCCCTCAGGCAGCACCACTAGTTCCCAAGTCCCATTCTCCAGCAGGCTGTGGTACTCAGCATCCCTAGAAGCTAGCCATTTGTCCCTATCTGGTCCAGCTAATGCCTCCTCCATGCTAGCTGGTTCCTCTGGTGCAGGGGCAAGAAAACAGTACGCAGGCTCATCCTCCTCATCCGGGTCATAGCCATGCGGTAGAATCAGCAATGCCTCCTCGGTCCCAAGCTGCTGCTCCGCTACATCAGCTCCTGCAGTCAGCTTCTTAGTAGCCATACGGGTACGTCCTGGCCTGGAGACGGGTGTCTCCCATCCCTTCATAATAACACCCTTCGGCTTTTTAGTTTTCCCCTGCTGCTGCTCTCCTCCCTCGGATCCAGCAGCTCCACTAGTGCTACCGCTAATCTCCACACCATCACCTCCACCAGCAGGTGCCTCCTGCACCTTCTCTTTATCACCACCCTCTGCAGCTGCCTCCTCTCCCTCCTCCCACACACTAGGAGTCAGGTCCAGCTGCATGGTGATCTGCTCCATCTGCTGGGACACCCTGGCCTCCGGCTGTTTCTCCCAGCTCCCATACATCATGCCCTCAACAAACTTCACATCCCTGCTGTCAAACAACACACCCTTGGAAGGCTCCCACAGCAGCCATCCCTTGCTTTCAGCTGCCAGCCCCAAATGCACACACCAGATTGCACTCGCCCCCAACTTACTGCGGTAGGTCTTGGGAACGTGGGCGACTGCCATGCAACCGAACACCCTCAGCATGTCCACCGGCGGCTTCCTCCCAAGCCACCTCTCCAACGGCACCCACGAGTCATCCCCAACCTTTGTGAGTACCCTGTTCCTAGCGACGGTAGCGTGCCGAACAGCATGGGGCCACATCAAGTTGCCCAGCCCAGATTCTATGAGCAGCGCCCTAGCTGTCTCCAGAATTGTCCGGTTCGCCCGTTCTGCTACACCGTTGGACTGTGGGGTGTAAGCCGTGGTCAGCTCCCTCTGGATGCCCTGCTTCTTGAGCCAGGCCGTCATCTCAGCTCCAAGGAACTCACCACCCCGATCTGTCCTAATCCGCTTCACCACACACTCCGCTTGCTTCTCCACGAACGGCAGCCAATCGTCCCGAATCGTGGAGGCGGCGTGATCTTTCTGCTTCAGCGGATACGCCCACATTAGCCTGCTCCAGTCATCCACTATGGTTAGGAAGTACCGCTCCCCCTTGTGCCCTTGCACCGGCAGCGGCCCCACCAAGTCCATGTGGACCAGCTCCAACGGCTTTTTGCTCCTGCCAGCCACACTATGGAAGGGGAAACGGGTGAACTTTGAAAGGAGGCAAATTTCACAGTTATCATCGGGTGGTTGTCCGTTCAGCTTTAAGCCCTTAACGGCTCCATCCTTCTCCAGCTGCTTCAGCAAAGGCATTGCCACATGCCCCAAACGTCGGTGTGCAGTTGCCCAATCTGTCTCCCCAGATCTGGCCGACACTTTCACACCAACCCCTCCAACGGCGTTGCACTCCCCCTGGGATGCAGACCCCTCTCCAGCCTGCCCCCCACCGTGCCACGCCAGCGCCGGCAGCTGCCACATAGATCTGTACACGTCCTTGCTCTCGTGCAGATCCCAAAGCACCCGATTGCCCAGCTTCCCCTTATAAGTGCGAGCCCCATCCGTGTTGGTGTTCACCCCAGCCTTGCCAAGCTTACGGAGGGAGATGAGGTTGGCCTTCAGGTCGGGGACGAGGAGAACGTCGTGCAGCACCACCGGCTTGCCATCCGCTCCCTTAAATGCAGCTCGTCCCGCACCAGCCACCTTCAACATGTGTCCAGAGGCAGAGCACACCTCATTAATCGGTGCAGCGCGTACGTCGTCCAGCAGGTCCTTGCGCGGCGTCATTGTCCAAGCGGCGCCTGTGTCCAACACCCAATAGTCCAGGGGATGCAGCTCTGCTCCAGCCTTAGCAGATGCGTCTCCTTGCTCCCCCTTGTCTCCCATATGGAAGAATTGGCCCGCGGTGCGCTCCTTCTTCTTCTCCGCACCGCCGTTGCCCTTCGGGTTGTTGTCGGACGAATCAGCAACCATGTTGGCGCCGTTTTTCTGGTTCCTCCGCGCGCCGCCATCCTGGTGACGATTCTGGGGAGTCCATCCATCGGGTTTCTTATAGCACAAAAACCAGGGGTGCCCTTCCTTCTCACAATACCAGCAACTCCCTTTCATTTTGCCACCAGCACCCGACTTGCCCCCACGTCCAGATTTCGCACCGCGACCCCAACCGGTACCTCCTTGTTGGTCGTTGGAGTCGTCGTCTTTCTTTGCACCGCGTCCAGCACCACCGAAGCCACGTCCTTTGCCACGTCGGCTCCCTTGCATCCCGTAGCCGCTGCTGCCGTCGTCTCCACCCCTCAGTTGGCGGCGACGGAAGTCCTCCTCCAGAATCTTCGTCCGCACCCACTCGAGCGTCCACAAGCTCTGGTTCTGCGGCAGGCTCAATCCGCTCGTAAATTGAAGCCACGATTCCGGCAGCAGCGAGAGCATCTTCAAGCACTTTGTTTGCTCCGGGTAGGTGATTCCTGCGGTCGCCAACTTCGCGTAGAGGTCGCGCAATTTGTCCAGGACAGGTTGCACCGGCTCTCCCTCGCTCAGGCGCAACGCGGACAGCTCCCTCTCCAGCATCAATGTTGCAACAACGGAGGTCGGGGCGTGCAGCTCCTTCAACACCGTCCACGCCTTCGGACCGCACTCAACCTCCGGCAGCAGGTGCATGACGTGGTGACGCTGGTTCAGCTCCAAACTCTGCGACATCAAGTAGTAGCCAGCCGAGGCGCGCTCGTCCCAATCTTCCTGAAGGGCGGGGTCACTCGGTCTAGGCTCCTCCCCAATCATTAGTTTCAGCAATCCGATTTGACGGAAATAAAGTTGCATTTTCCAGGCCCAATCATCATAGCCCTCACCATTGAACTTCTCGACGGTGAAGTTTTTCAGCACCTCCTTGATCAGCGAGCCCTGGCTTGTTCGCGCTCCCCTTGGCGCAGAAACTCCAGAATCATGGCTGCCGCTACGATCTTGGGCTGAAGATTCACCAGCTACCGCCGAGGTGTTGCCCGCCATAGCTACCTATATCGAGGATCACTATAACGCAGCTCTGATACCAGCTTGTTGGTGTAAGGGCCTAATAAACTCAAGCTATTAAGACTTTATCACACTTAAAACCTCTCCTCGGGGTCACCTCCAAGGGTCCTTGGGTGCCTGGTACAAGACCAGCCCCTATCCTCGGGTCCGAGTTTGTAGAGAGAGGGATCAAGAGGGACTTAGTCAAAACAGCAAGAGTACCTTGAGCGTCGCGCAGCGTATCGTGCAGACCGTCGACCGGGTTAAGCTGAGAATTTCCTATATCGAAGCTCACTCTAAGAGCTTTAAAATAAGCCAAGTTGCCTCGCGAAAAGTTCTGCCATTACGAAGTTATGGCTCGGACAGCGTTAGCCTAGCGTTGGAGTGCTAGCGTACTAGCGTTGACTCGGGTAGCATTCCGCCGTCGCACCGCGTAGAAAAGAAATTCCAGCAAGGAAGGAATTCGCTTGAATCAATTTCACTATATTCAGGTACAAACAGAGAAGGAATAAATAGCTCTAGCTAGCAAGGACCTTGGGAATCAACCTGGGAACAACCAGGGATGATCCCAAATAATTCCAAGCAACAGAACCAACCTGGCTGGACAAAATAGCAGGTGATAGGTTGGTGAACAACCTCTGGTTCTGTTTTTCCAACCTGGGAAAACAACAACCAGGTTCAGGTCCTAAAAACAGAACCTGTTTTGTCTTTGCCCAACCAGCCAAATGCTGGTTCCGCTGGTTTCCCCTGGCCCTGTAGCATGCAGATACAGACAAACAACATCCAACCTTCACCTAAATTGTACCCCTATAGTGCCTGCCCTGCTACACTATAGTCAACCAAACAAAACAGTACAATTTCGAGTTGGATAGAACTGAATCTGCGCAATCAAGTAAGTTGAACCGCAAAGCTTCCATCTTGGGTTCCTTTGCGAGCTCGTCCTTTCTGCTTGTACTGTTCATAGCGCGTACAATGTTATGCCGAAGCGCACATTTTGCGAGTACCTGCAAATGCTTCAAGCGAAAATTGCGAAAGCAAACAAACACACAAACATACCATTCACACGCAAATGCATTCGCACACGCATACTCGTACAAACAGACGGCAGGATGTCATGCAATGTGAATTTGCACCCAACATCAGCCAGAGACACCGCAACCGGCCGACTAAGCGGCGTGAGTGTGGTGCGGTCCCGAAAGAAGGAGCGAGACGCCCCAGAGTCAAGAGTGAAGGTGAGGGAGGCCGAAGCCGACGTAGTATCTGAGAGCGCAGACTCACCAGTACCTGAGGACGCAGACACACTACCACCTAGAGCAGCAGCGTCGCAAGCACCTAGAACAGCAGCCTCAATGCCCGGATCGGGCGGGAAACAGCGGTAGCAGTCACCTTCATCACTATGAGACACAGCATACATGGCAGAGAGAATAGCATCAAAGTCAAGATCAAAGATGGCAACACCCGCCCTAGACAGCTCGCCCCAGCGAGGAATCTCTGAGGCCTCTGGGAACTGGTGACGCCACGCGTCCGTCAAGCGGCCAAAGCAGCGCTGGGTGGGGTGCGGACCCCCACACTGCTCACCCGCACGGTCGCCGGTGCGCAGGACGTAGGTGCACGGACCAAAACCCCCACCCCGCTGGCGTGCAGTGTACCACTCACGGAGCTGCTGAGGGGACAGGGTCTCACGACCGCGCTGCTGCTGCTCGCGCGCGCCACTATCGGAGCCACTCCTCTGCGAAGGCCCGCGACCAGCTCCACTGCCACCCCCACCGCCTCCGCCGCCTCCGCTACTGCCGCCGCCTCCACCGCCGCCTCCACCGCCGCCTCCACCGGCGCCTCCTCTGCCACCTCCACTCCCACCGCCACCGCCGCCGCCGCCTCCGCCTCCACCGCCGCCACCGACCCCCCCACCCGCACCTCCACTCCCACCGCCACCCCCACTACCCCCACCGCCTCCACCTCCACCTCCACCGCCCGCTCCTCGAGCTCCCTTGCCCCCCTTGCCCTTGCCAGGGCGGCGTCTCCCGCTAGGGGCACACGCCGCACCGACTGACTCAAGACCAAGGAGGTCGGCCGTAGCAGCAGAGGCAACAGAGGGCAGCAGGGGGGAGGGGGAACACCCCTCAAAGATGGGGGTGCGCGGGTCACCTCGAGAGGCTCCTACAGCGACTATACTCTTCTCCGCTGCTAAGAGGGCCTTCTGGAGGAGATTGACAGTGAGTGTGGTGGGACAGACTGAGAGAAAGTGGTCCCTGACTACTCGAAGGGAGTCAGGAAGGCGAGTGACTAGGAAGTACATGGGGGGGGGTTCTTGGCGCAGAAGTCAGCAGGGAGTGCAGCGCGGTAGCGAGTGTCACTAGTGCGGAGGTGCGTAATGAGGTCAGCCACGGTGGGAAAGGCAGCAAGGTCAGGGAAGAGGTACGGTAGCATGAGACGGCTCAGTGCAGCAGTGGCAGGGGAGGAGTAGCGCGCGACTACAGCGTCGTACAAGGTCTGAGCACTCTTGTACTGACTAAAGTGCGCACGCTCGGAGGTAGGGAGGTGGCGACGCACAGCAAGACGTGTAGCAGCGTCGCGCGTGGCTCACTGGGAGCGAACAGTGGCGTCAGCATCAGCAGCAGGGGCAGGGGAAGCGCCAGAGGAAAGGTCAAAGAGAGAGATGCCGTCTACCCTATCGCACTGTAAGAACAGCTGCAGGTCATCTACCCAGACCTCAAAGTCAATGGCCCGACCCTCAGCGTCAAAAGCGAGGACACTAGGGGTAGCCATGACGACAGTAGCCTAGCAGTACTACCTGTAGGACAGGGGCAGTGCAGTGACAGGAGCGCTGCTCTCACCAGATAAGGCGGGTCGGGCAGCTCAGCAGCACAGCAACGCGGCTGCTCGGACGGCTCAGCAGCAACTGCGGTTCGGGCGGCTCGGGCGGCTCGGCTCCACAGCGGCTTAGGCGGCTCGGGCGGCTCGGGCGGTACGGGCGGCACGGCTCCTCAGCGGCTCAGGGGGCTCGGGCGACTCGGGCGGCTCGGGCGGCTCGGGCGGGTCGGGCGGCTCGGCTCCTCAGCAGCTCAGGCGGCTCGGGCGGCTCGGGCAGGTCGGGCAGCTCGGGCGGCTCGGGCGGCTCGGGCGGGTCGGGCAAATCGGGTGGTGCGGGCGGTGTAGGGCCGTATGGCCGCTGGTAGGGCTCGGGGCCGCAGCAAGAGGGGCGGCGGTGCCGCAGAGACAGGCGGCGAGGCCGCAGTGAGAGGCGGCGGGGCCGCAGCTAGAGAGGCGGCGGGGCCGCGGAGACGGGCGGCGGGGCCGCAGAGACGGGCGGCGGGGCCGAAGTGAGAGGCGGCGGGGCCGCGAAGACGGGCGGCGGGGCCGCTGAGACGGGCGGCGGGGCCGCAGTGAGAGGCGGCGGGGCCGCAGCGAGAGAGGCGGTGGGGCCGCGAAGACGGGCGGCGTGGCCGCTGAGACGGGCGGGGGGGCCGCAGGGAGAGGCGGCGGGGCCGCAGCTAGAGAGGCGGCGGGGCCGCTGAGACAGCCGGCGGGGCCGCAGTGAGAGGCGGCGGGGCCGCAGCGAGAGAGGCGGCGGGGCCGCGAAGACGGGCGGCGGAGCCGCAGAGACGGGTGGCGGGGCCGCCGTGAAGGGCGGCGGGGCCGCAACGAGAGAGGCGGCGGGGCCGCAGAAAAGGGCGGCGAGGCCGCTGAGACAGGCGGCGGGGCTGCAGTGAAGGGCCGCTAGGGCGGCTCGACGAAGTGAGGGCCCGAAGCGCGACTCGGGTTGAGCGCGTTTCGGGCAGGAAAAAAAAAAAACTCGATGTGGTGGGCCCTAAGCACAGTTCCCAAGGGGGAACCTGCTCGATACCATGAGAAGATTAGAACGAGAGGATGGTGAACTATGAAACGAAGTGAGTACAAATATGAAACCCTAATTGGTTGTACCCCCTATGGGATACCCCACTATAGCCTACACAACAGCATAAGCTATAATGTTCTAACAAAACAACCTCTGGTTCTGTTTTTCCAATCGGGGAAAACGACAACCAGGTTCAGGTCCTAAAAACAGAACCTGTTTTGTCTTTGCCCAACCAGCCAAATGCTGGTTCCGCTGGTTTCCCCTGGCCCTGTAGCATGCAGATACAGACAAATAACATCCAACTCTCATGTAAAACAAAGCAATACAATTTCGAGCTGGATAGAACTGAATCTTCGCAATCAAGTAAGCTGAACCGCAAAGCTTCCATCTTGGGTTCCTTTGCGAGGTCGTCTTTTCTGCTTGTACTGTCCATAGCACGTACAATGTTGTGCCGAAGTGCACGATACGCGAGTACTTGCAAATGTTGCAAGCGAAAATTGTGAAAGCAAACAAACGCTCGAACATTCCATTCACACACACATGCATTCGCACACGCATAGTCGTACAAACAGACGGCAGGATGTCGTGCAATGTGAATTTGCACCCAACAGATGCATTATGTGCTTTCGTTGGGCAAGATCTAGGCTGTGAGAGAGAATGTAGTATCCTGCTGATGAACGTTCGTCCTAATCGCCCTGAAGTTCCAGGTTGCTAGGGTGTTTGTCACTAATGATTATGACTTTGAGAAGTCCTATCTGCCAAAATATAACTGCATCTTACAGGACCAGACGTCGTACCCTTGACTACTGAATTTGTCGATGGAGAAGTTTTTCAGAACTGCCCTTAGTAGTGGGCCCTGGTTTGTCCGTGCTACTGTAGGCGCGGATACTCCAGTTTCCTGGCTACCACTACTCACAAGAGATGAACCCCCTTCTTCTCCAGGCGACCCCATCGTTGGATACGTTCAAAACGACTAAATACCAGCTCTGATACCATGTATTAACAGCTATAACGTTATGCGGAAGCGCTTAAACTGGAACTACAAACAAAGCTTAGCAACACTTAACATCACTTGCAGCGCTTCGAGTGTGACAGCTTGTCACCTCCTAGCCAAGGGCGTAATTAAAACGCAAGTGAGTCTTTATGCCTTACTCATGCTTGTAGAACAAGTAAACTGGTTGAGCAGAGATTTGGCAGCACCGTGATCGTTTCTACTATTGTCAATACGAAGTAGTAGAATTCGAACTTGAAAAAACGTGAATGCATTTGATTAATTTGGACAAGTACAAGCACACATTTATATAGATTCTACGCACAGGCAAGGGCAAGCAAAACAGTTGTTTAACCAGCTCGCAGGATTTTGCCACACTGTACTTCAAAATAGTTGCACAAGTCCTTGAGCATTTGGCTATATCCTCCTCTTGTTAAAGACTGTCTTCAAACTGTACTTGTAACAGTTGCCCTTGCTGACTCAAATGTGTGCACTCATGAGTCTCGCATGTTGCTCCAATGTAGCTCAAATGTCTTCATGCGAGCTCAGGGTTGTATAACGGTTCGTTTTAAAAACAGAGTAACCAATTTGCACATGTGTCGAAATGATTCCGCAAAACGATGGTATATTCGCGAGAATTTTCCCGTCCCGTGAGTCAGCACGGGATACAGTTTTTCAACTGTAATCCCGAGCACCCCCTCGTGCCACACGCACGACCGAGATTTTTTTCGGTTGTGCTGTATAGCGCGTCATGATTGAAATCATGCACGTGTACAGCAATGGACAGGGCTGAAATAGGCCATGTCTTGTTGCGATCGTGCAGTATAGTGGACTCCCAACAAGACGCGGCACACACCCGAGCCCTGAGGAGCCACACGCGCGTATCAGGACCCAAACGCGGTCCTGATTTTTGCACCCTTTTACTCGCGCGAAACGGTGAAACAACACTCTTTTGACCAGTCAAAATTTCGAGCCCCCCTGCACACCACTCACTCACATAAGCGTCGTATGAAATATTCGAGGCATATTAAACTTCGATGAGCCTCGCATAATTAATTCGATGTGAAGAAAGAGGAATGACTGAACTAGCAAGGAGATGGGTACAAATAGGGAAACCTAACAGTGTTGTCCCCCATATGGTCTAACCCACTACAGCCTACAAAGACTATATCATGTATGTTTGATACACCCCCATAGGCAAAGAGGGGGAGAACAAGAGGTCACAAGACCGGTCAAGCAAAGCAAGGCAAGCTCAGAGTGGATCACAATGTCACCACACAATCTGAGCACAAGCACAGTGCCACAAAGCCAGTTCACAAGCAGAGTTATATATCAAGGTGAATAAGTAAGGAAGAGACCAAAACCTAGCAAGGGTAAGCATGCAAGTGCAGGTATATATAGATCACAGTACAATCAGAGTCAAGAAGTGAGCAAGTGAGACCAAGTAGGCACAAGACCTAACTTCGTACAAAAGCGCAAATGATTATAAGGCTGAAGTGCCTTGGTAAAGATATCAGCAGCGTTGGCCCGAGAGGCCACGTAAGCAAGGCGCAGCTGACCACGCTGCTGTAGCTCACGAGCAAGGAAGTAGCAAAGAGCAATGTGCTTCGTTCTGTGCTCCAGTCTGTGCTCCCGACAGAAGGCCAGCATGGCCTTGTTGTCTACGTACAGAACTAGAGGAGAACGAGGCAGCTCTCCCAGGTCAGTCAGCAGGTAGGTGAGCCAGTGTAACTCCTGTGCAGCCATGGCCCCTGCGTAGATCTCAGCCTCACAGCTGGAGCTGAGAACAGAAGACAAGCAGATAGACCGCCACGAAACAGAGCCGGAACCAAGGCTGAAGGTGTAACCCTGTGACGACCGCTGCGTAGCCAAGTCGTCAACCCAAGATGCGTCTGTGTGACCAGTGAGGACCACTGGACTCCGCCATCCAAGCATGAGCCCCATGCCCGACGTATTGCACAAGTAGCGCAACACCCTCTTCACTGCAGCCATGTGCTCTGGTCGGTGTCTCCCAGGAGCAACATAGCGTGCCAAGATGCTAAGAGGGTATGCCAGGTCAGGTCGAGTGCAGGTCATCAGGTACATGAGGCAGCCAACAAGCTCTGGGTACGGGCCACTCGGCTCTACGGACTCATCCGAAGGCAGAGCTGAGAGTGAGTGGCGAGTAGACAGAGGAGTGGCCTGAGGCGAAGAGTACGTGAAGTCGAAGCGCTGAAGGACCTGCTGCACCATGTGTGACTGAGTCAGGGTAATGGTGCGGCGTGCTCTGTCCCGGGTGATCTGCAAGCCAAGGTAGCTGCGCAGTTCACCCAGGTCTGAGCACGTGTGTCTCTTCTGCAGCTCGGACTTCACGTGGGCGAGTCCAGCAGTGTCAGCTGTGGCAAAGACCAAGTCGTCGACGTACGTGATGATGTAGAATGGCGGCAAAGAGGTGTCGGTGCGTAGAAACAGTGACGGGTCGGCAGTAGAAGGAGCGAAGCCAAGAGCCGCAAGTGTAGCCCTCTGTGTGTCGTGCAACTCACGGGGCGCCTGGCAGAGACCGTAGACTGGCCGCCGGAGGCTCCACTGGGTACTAGGAGGAAACGACCCAGTGAAGCCAGGTGGGCGGCGCAGCCAGTTCTCCTCGTGCAGGCTGCCCCTGTTCTCAAGTCATGAGAGTGCAACTCGTAGTCGCGCTGAGTGGCTATGTGCAGCAGCACCCGAAGAGTGGTCATCTTCGGGGTGGGAGAGAAGGTCTGAAAGTAGTCAACTCCCTGCCGCTGACTGAAGCCTCGAGCCACGTAACGCGCCTTGAAGACAGGCGGAGAACCCGATGGCTGCTTCACCCTGAAAATCCACATGCCACTGACGATGTTCGCCCCAAGTGGGGAAACCTCGTCGACGTAGGTGCCTGTGGACTTCCAGTAAGCCATCTCTGCGTCCATGGCTGACTGCCACTGT